CATTTATAACAATCCTTCAATTGTTCTTCCTTCGTTGACGCTTGATTTTTCGTTCATTCGTTTGTTTACAAGCTTAAGTAAGTCTCTGTAATTAAGTCATCCGCCTTTCAAACCACTATCCATTTATCCATCCATTCATCTATCCATCCATTCATTTAAATCATCCATTCATTCATCCTTTGACACAACAATCTATTCACCCATCCATCCATCCATCCATCCATCCATCCATCCATCCATCCATCCATTCGTCTATCCATCCATCCATTCGTCTATCCATCCATCCATTCATCTATCCATCCATTCATTTAAATCATCCATTCATTCATCCTTTGACACAATCTATTCACCTATCCATCCACTCATCCATCCATCCATCCATCCATCCATCCATCCATCCATCCATCCATCCATCCATCCATTCGTCTATCCATCCATCCATTCGTCTATCCATCCATTCATTTAAATCATCCATTCATTCAGCCTTTGACACAACAATCTATTCACCTTTTCATCCACCCATCCATCCATCCATCCATTCGTCTATCCATCCATTCATTTAACTCTCCATCCATTCATTCATCCTTTGACACAACCATCTATTCACCTTTCCATCCACCCATCCATCCATCCATCCATCCATCCATTAATTCGTCTATCCATCCATTAATTCGTCTATCCATCCATCCATTCGTCTATCCATCCATCCATCCATCAATTCGTCTATCCATCCATTCATTTAACTATCAACCCATTCATTCATCCTACTACACAATCATCTATTCACCTATCCATCCATCCATCCACCCATCCATCCATCCATCCATCCTTCCATTCTTTTGGTTATCATATCAGCCTGCCTGCTGACACGTCAGGTGATGTGTGACCAATCATAACGAAGCATGACACTGGTGCTGATGATGATGGCGATAATGATGGTTATGATGATGATGAGGGCGATGATGATGATGATGCTGATGATGATGATGATAATAATGAGGGCAATGATGATGATGATGGTGGTGATAAGAGTATTGTTGTTGTGAAGCTAGTTGATATAACGATAAAGAAGTTGTTTTTTATGTCGATCATGATGATGGTACGATGAAGATAGTGGCGATGATGATAGTATTATTGGCGATGATGATGATGAGGACAATGATGATGATGATGACGATCCAGTAGAAATAGCGATGGTTGGTGCTCCAAACAAACAGTGAGTTTATTTATAATGCAAATAGGACCACACGCACGCATGCATGCAAATATTCCAGGCAAGATGTTTGCATGTTTGCACAATCTTTCTGTTTGCCTTCCCGGTTCACACGTTCGTAAGATCACACGTATGCAAACACACACACACACACCTATACACACATACACACTATACACACAAACACAGAGGCACACATACACACACACGAACTCACAAACTTGCATGTGTGAAGCAGCATACAGAGACATGCATACACACATGCATACGCATATATATATATATATATATATATATATATATATATATATATATATATATACAGGTGTGTGTGTATGCGTGTGTTTCTGTGTGTAGTGTTTCTGTGTGTGTGTGTGTGCGGACATACGGACATGAATAAAAAGTTTTGCTATAGATGAATGGTTTCATTTTAATATTAACGTGACATGTTTGTGAACATGCAGTTAAGTGTGAACAGAATGAATTAACAAACAAAATGCACAAACATATAAATATTCCTCGCTTAGATCTAAGTTTGATGATTAAACTATAAACACAATTGCGATTACGATCAAGATGTGTGTTTGTGTGCTTACGTGTGTGTGTGCGTGTGTATGTGTATGCACGTGTGTATGTGTGACTATGTATGTGTGTGTGTTTGCAGATTAAACTCACTTGAACACTTGAAATATATGTCTAAAAACACATAATCCATTTTTCAACAAATATGAAAATCTTATTAACTACATCAGGGGTGGGCAAACTTTTTGTTGTGAGGGCCCCATTGAGAACTATTTTACCTTTGAAGGGCCGCATATACTTAATAGCAAATTTTTTCGACCCGGGGGAGAATTTTTTAAGATTTGTGGTTCATTTTTTGGTCAAAATGTCTGGCTGGCGACCTTTTTACATGGCAACAAGTGAATATGAAGTCAAATACCATGTGAGGATAAACACAAACATACAAAACGTATCAAAATGAAACATATACGCCACACACACACACACACACACAAAAACAAACCCACACACACACAAATAAAACCACACACACACACACACACACACAGTTTGCATATCATACCTTGGTACACGGGTTAATCCATGCGTTTCACATTCACGCATATATATATATATATATATATATAAACGCACATATATATATATATATATATGTATATATATATATATATGTGCGTGTGTGTATGTGTCTATATGTCTGTGTATCAGATAAACCTGCAAGCAAGCTTTTTATTGAACAATAGGATATTGTTTGTGGAGGATTTCTGGTGCATATTTAGTTGGCTGGCTGGCTGGCTGGTTGAGTGGTTGGTTGGTTGGCCGGTTGGCTGGCTGGCTGGATGATTGGTTGATTGATTGGTTGGTTGATTGGGTGGTTAATTGATTGACTGGTTGGCTAATTCGCTGTAATAAGCAGGAATCTCTTTGCAATCAAACCCGGTCACTACATCAGCAAAGCCAGGCACCTTAACAGTTACACCATTGCTAACATAAATTTTTTTTAGCAGTAACAGTGGTTTTGTTGACAGTACTGGCTGTGGTAGTAGTAGTAGTAGTAGCAGCAGCAGTAGCAGTAATGGTAGTAGTAGTAATAGTAGTATTAGTAGTAATAGTAGCAGTAATAGTAGTAGTAGTAATTGTTGTTGTTGTAATAGAAATAGCATTATTAATGTATCAGTGATATTTTATAATTAAAAAGCCTCTGCAAACAATGGCTTGTGTGGTTCGTATCTGACTAAAGTATGAAGAGCTTGTTTCGCTTTTAATTGAATGCTTCTGAAAAAAATCTTTCGTTATTCATAATAATAATAATAATAATAATAATAATAATAATAATAATAATAATAATAAAATGGATTGTGATGATGATGATGATGATAATAATAATAAAAATAACAATAATAATAACATTAATAATGTTAATAATAAAGTTATTAATAACAAAACCGACAATCAGTCTTATCCTTATTAGGTTTTTTCATTTTAATCATCATCATCACCATCATTGTCATCATCATCATCATCCTTATCGTTACAAACATCGTTAATATTATATCATCATCATTATTATCGACATCATTATATCCATAAAATCATCATCATCACAATCAACACCACCATCGTCATCATCATCATCACAGTCAGAACCATCATCATCTCAACCGCCACCACTACCATCATCACAGCCACCACCATCATCATCATCACAGCTACCACTATCATCATCATCATCATCACAGTCAGCACCATCATCATCATCATCACAGCCACCACCATCATCATCATCATCACAGTCAGCACCATCATCATCATCATCACAGCCACCACCATCATCATCATCATCACAGCCACCACCATCATCATCATCACAGTCAGCACCATCACTAGCACCATCATTATCATCACAACTCGATCACCTGATGGTCTGTCAGAGCTGACATGTCTATCAATTTCCAATATCAATTTGTCTCTGATTATCATTCTTATCACGATGACGATGATGATGATAACGATGGTTATGATGACGATGATGATGGTTAGGATGATGACGATGATGATGGTGGTGATAATGATGATAATGGTTATGATGATGACGATGATGGCTATGATGTTGATGATAAATGTTTGTGAAATTTATGTTGATGGTTATGATGATGATGGTGGTGGTGATAATGATGATGAGGATGGTTTTGATGATGATGGCTATGATGACGACGATGATGGCTATGATGATGATGGTGATAAATGTTTGTGAAGTTTATGTGTCGAAGGAAAAACAGTAGCTTTTTTTAGGACTCAGTTGCGCCGAAGAAACACAAATACATAGTTCTACGTAGAACAAATATTCCTGTTCTATTAGCTGGATTTGATGCTTACTGCATTTTAGAAAATACTGAAGATGTCAAAAAAGTCCTTACATTCTGGCCCTATAAACTTATATTACATACATACATACATACATACATACATACATACATACATACATACATACATACATACATACATACATACATACATACATACATATATACATACATACAATACAATACAATATATTTTATTTGACCTCAAAAAAAAAAAAAAAAAAACATAAAATTAAGATACAGGATGACTGTGAGGAGTCCGCATGTGACTCATCGAGCACAGCCACCTTTACAAGAAATTTCTAATTAATAATATGAATCATGAGACGAGATGAGTTAGTATGTTTGATGTGTCAATGATTACAAGTATGTATGAATAAATGTGAATGAGTATGAATGGGTGTGAATGATGAAAACATTAGATGATTATACTGAAGCGTTCAGTAAAATATTTTTCAGTTTTTTTCTAAATGTTGCCTGCACTTTTGTATATAAAACAGAATTTAAATCAAAATTAATTATCAAATTATTCCATATCCGTGGTCCGTTGCATAAAATATGAAAAAATAAAATGTTTGTTTTCGATTTATTGCAACGAATTATGTTTCTGTGCCTATTTGTCAAAACAAAGTTATAATAATCACAAAAAACTTTGGGTAGCAGTCCTGCGTAATGTTTGAAAACAAAAGTAGCACAGTGATACATGTGAAGATTTCTGAAGTTTAAGTTGCGTGTTGAGAGAAATAAAATGTTTGTTGACGCATTGTATTTTGAGCAGGTGATGATTCTCATTCCTTTTTTCATGAGCATTTGCAACGGTTGTGTTAACGAGGGATAAGTTGATGCCCAGATGATGTTACAGTAGACGAGGTGAGGAAGGCATATTGAATTGTACAATAAATTTAGAGAGCGTCTTGGTAGAAAGAATTTGATTCTGTTGATGGCGCCCAGGGATCTTGATAGTTTATCTGATACGGAATTTATGTGTTTTTTAAAGGTCAATTTGTTATCCAGAATAATTCCCAAAAAATTTGATGATTTTGTTTCTGTTATCGTTTCACCTTCAATAACGATTTTATATGGCTCTTTATAATTTAGTAACTGCACTGGGCCAAAAAACCATGAATTTTGTTTTTTCTCTGTTGAGAGTCAGTCTGTTGTTTTTGAACCATTGAATAACTGATTGAACATCATTATTGATCTCATTTATCAACACATTTATTTTTTTATTACTCTTGAATAGGTTCGTGTCATCAGCATACATGACATAATTAAAGCTGTTTGAGGAGTTTGGTAGGTCATTGATATAAATGGTGAACAACAAGGGGCCAAGGATGCTGCCTTGAGGAACTCCTGAATTGATCTTTTGCAGTCTTGAATCATTTTCATTCCATCTTACGTACTGCCATCTATCACGCAAATAACTTTCTAGCAACTTTGAGGCAATCCCTCGTATTCCATAATGTGCCAACTTACTGAGAAGAATTTCATGATCAACACAGTCAAAAGCCTTGCTCAAATCCAAAAAAATACCAGCAGTGAACTTTTTTTCTTCTGATGCCTTACCAATGCCGCGAACTAGTTCAAGTATTGCCATTTCAGTTGAAAATTTTTTTCTAAATCCATATTGATTTTCGGAGATAATGTTATACTTATCCAAAAAAGATGATAATTTATTGTGAATAATTTTTTCATATATCTTTGAGAAACCGGGTAGTAGTGAGATAGGCCTAAAATTTGAGATTTCATCATTGTTTTTTGATTTTTGAATCGGTATCACTTTGGCTATTTTAAATATTTTTGGAAACATGCTTTTTTCTAATGAAGCATTTATGAGGTGTGTTAGAATTTGTATCGTTGAATGTATTGTGGCTAAAATTATTTGGGACGGAATATTATCGTATCCACAAGACAGTTTTGGTTTCAGAGATCTTGTTGCTTGATAAACCTCTGACGTTGTCACTGAACTTATGAACATTGAATTTTGAATACTGTTTTTCATTGATTTTTTATATTCAAAAGTTTTAACAAAATTTACGTTAAGTTTCTCGGCGATAGAAACAAAGTGATCATTTAGAGCATTTTCTGGATCATTTACAATCTGGCCATTTCTTTTCAGATGTATATTATTACTTTTTGAGTCGTTATTTGATCTCCTCAGAACATCATTCATAATTTTCCATGATTTTTTCATATCATGTTTGTTATTTTCTAGAATATTATGGAAATACTGTTTCTTTGCGTTGTTTTTTATTTTTTTATAAATTTTATTTGCAGATTTATAGTTATTATTGTTTTCATCATTTGGGTTTTTAAGGAATTTTTTAAACAGTCGATTTTTAGCTTTCAGTATCTTTTTATTTTCACTATTGAACCATGGCTTTTGTTTGCTGATCTTATTAATTTTATTATTACTTACTTGGCAGCATTTTATCATACAACATTTGAAAAGCTCGACAAATTTTACCCAAGCCATTTCGACATCCCAACAATCATATACGTCGGTCCAATCAATTTCACAAAGTCGTTTATTTAAGTTGCTGATTCGATTTGATGAGAACAAGAATTTTGTTGAAGGAACTACGATGAGTTTTTCTTTTTTTACTTGTTTGCTGAAAGAAATTTGTGTGAGGACCGGCAAATGATCAGACAAATCACAGGCCAACACTCCTTGCAAGCACACATTCAACGAGCCATCTACAAATATGTTGTCAATAACTGATTGTTTGTTTGCTGTTATTCTGGTGGGGAGATTTATTAATTTACAAAGACCGTGCAGATCCATGATTTGTTGCAGTTGGTTATTATTGCTGTTTATATCGTCAGTTAAGTTTATGTTGAAGTCTCCTGTGACCACGATGTGTTTATTTTTTTCATTTAAACGTGTCAGGACATCATCGATTGATTCGCAAAAAGTTCCAACAGAACACGAAGGTGGTCGGTAAGCAACAACAACAACAATGTTTTTAGACTGCGCTTCATTGGCAATCTCTATGGCAAATATCTCAAGTGTTGTTGTCAAGGAGTCATTTAAATCGTGCCGTGCTTTAACGTTGTACATACATACATACATACATACATACATACATACATACATACATACATACATACATACATACATACATACATACATACATACATACATACATACATACATACATACATACATACATACATACATACATACATACATACATACATACAAACAGACAAACCTAAACAAACAAACAGACAAACACAAACAAACAGACAAACACAAACAAACAGACAAACAGACAAACACACACAAACAAACCAGCAAACAAAGCGAACAAATATAGGTGATACGCTCATATACAAAGATACACACTTACACAGATACAAACGCACATACAAACAAACATGCATACAAAAAAACAGCAACAAAACAAAAGTGTCACATATTTTCTTATTGGCCATAAAACGAAACGAACATAGGTCTTCTGCTGTAGAATGGTGACGTCATTTTACATTTTATTCAAACTGTAATGTACATACATACATACATACATACAACATACATACATGCATACAAACATCCATATATACAATATACATACATCGTGACATATTCAAACTTCTGCAATGAAAACTCCATCAGAAAAAGTCATCAACTTGTCTTGCTTAATTAAAAATTCTTTTATCTTGTAGCATTGTGTCTGTGTATGTGTTTGTATGTTGATATTTTAGTGTGTGTGTGTCTGTGTATGTGTTTGTATGTTGATATTTTAGTGTGTGTCTGTGTGTGTGTGTGTGTGTGTGCGCGCGTGTTGCACCAGTTTGTATTTGATTGACAGCATTTTAAACTGCTTTAAAATAAATTTGAACTTTTAATGTGTACAAAATCATAAAATTTACTTCCCAAACATGTAAAACAAACATGTAGGATAGTTTACGACAATTTTTATATGAGAATTGAAACTATTATATGAAGGAACACGTGGTGTCATAAACATTTTTTGTTGGAATAATTATGCTCAGACAAATGTTTCTATACTCAGATAGCGTAGATAGATGGATAATAGATAGATAGATAGATAGATAGATAGATAGATAGATAGATAGATAGATAGATAGATAGATAGATAGATAGATAGATAGATAGATAGATAGATAGATAGATAGATAGATAGATAGATAGATAGATAGATAGATAGATAGATAGATAGATAGATAGATAGATAGATAGATAGATAGATAGATAGATAGATAGATAGATAGATAGATAGATAGATAGATAGATAGATAGATAGATAGATAGATAGATAAAATAACATGGCAAAGAGGCACCAAATGTATATATATGCATGCCAGTTATGACCTTAAATCATATATAACCTTGTACCAAAACGCTTTGGAATTGTTGGTGTGATAGTCGAGTACAACTTTTACGAGTCAGATGAAATAATAAATGTCACTTTTGTTTTGAGTTTAATCATTCTCTGTGTCATCATTTTCATCATCTTAATTCTCTTCTTCATCTTCTTCATCATCTTTCTGATCTTTTCAACCACCATCATCATCATTTTGTGGTGTTTCATCATCTACATCTTCACCTACATCTTTGTCATCATCATTTTCATCATAATCATCTTCACCATCATCTTCACTATCATCATCATCATCATTTTTATCTTCTTCATCTTCATCATCATCTTTCTCATCATTACTCTCTTCTTCATTATCATTCCCTTCTTCGCCATCGTCATCATCTTCCAATACATCTCCATTATCACCATCGTCGTCATCTTAATAGGGTGTTTATAGTTTCAATTATCGTCAAAAACTGCGGTGACAGTTTTAACGAAGTCGTGAAAGTATTTTAAACTCATCAACATTTCAATTTTACTGTTCATCATTTAGGGATATCTTATGAAGTGATAGTGAAAGATATCACGATACAACAACAACAACAACAGCAACAGCAACAACAACAGCAGCAACAACAGCAACAACAACTCCGACAACATCAACACCAACAACAACAACAACTCAAGCAAAATCAGCAACAGCTGAAACGACATTCATCACAACAACCAAAACCAAACAAACGACTCAAACAACAACAACAGCAGCAGCAACAACAACAACACCCTGATGACGTAACTCATGACGTCGTGTTAACTTGCGTGACGTCAGGCAATCCAACACCTCAAGTCACGTGGTTTATCAACGGAAGAAGGTTTGATGTACTATTTCCGCTACATTCATTAAACATTTTTCACATTTAATAACTATCATTAACAGTAATTTATAATGTGTAAATTATTTATGTATATATCGATTATTGAGTTACATATATTACACATCCATCCGTACATATATCTATGCATATATGCATATATCTATGCATATATAAATATATCTATGCATATATGCATGATATAGTATCATTCTTTTACTTATATATGGGTATAATTTGTCTCTACGTATCTTAAGCTGTATGATAGTCTTGTATGTTTGTTGTGGAAAAAATTATTTTCATTCATTTAGATCAGATATATGTTATCAGATTCGTATTTTTGGAAAATTTTCAAATGATTCAGTGTAGGGTTATTTGTTGAACAGTGTTAATAAAACTTTATATGTATTAATACTTCGTAGTAGTAGTGAGCGTTAAACTGAGATCATGAGATACAGCTTACCTGTTGGAAAAGCTCAAAAACTATATTACAATACGGAAGATCAATAGACTCATAGGTTTATTTAATTTATTGTTTTAAAATTTTTGAGAAGGCACAAAGACGTTTCGTCTTCGCCTTTGTTTAAAGTAATAATAATAATAATAATAATACCCTTCAAACATCACCATAAAATCACCAGAATTTCATCCTTAACTTCAGCACACATAGAGAAATCATTGTTCGTTCAGTTGTGTTTGTGTGCTTGTGTGTGTGCTTGTGTGTATGTGTGTGTGTGTGTGTGTGTGTGTGTGTGTGTGTGTGTGTGTGTGTGTGTGTGTTGTCAATGGCATTGAAACCGATACCCCTCTTTAAACTATGCAAATTCACACGGCTTACAATTTATCTTGGTCTTCTTGAATAGATAATTAGACCAAGCATCATAGCAAGTGCTCAAACGAACGTGAAATAACATTACAACACTTACTGTGAAAAACACAACACACTACATGACACAACAACAACAACAACACAACAACAACAACAACAACACAACAGCAACAATACCACCACAACAACAATACATAGTCCATGATACATACATTATAACATAACATTGGCAGCAATGGCAAACTTTACCAACTGAATGTAACCAACTAGCTAGCTGATTGATGGTAGCGACTCAATTGTTCAGTTGTTTAGATTTGCAATCACACGCGAACACCACACACACACACACAAACACACACAGTCCTACACACACACACACACACACACAAACACACACACAGTCCTACACATACAAACACACAACGACAAAACAAACACATCAGAATTAGAAAAACACAACAAAAACTCAATACCAGCAACCGACTATCAGCATTACATTACATTACATTGGCAACGTACACAAACACACAAACACACAAACACACACTCAACTGGACAGAACAATGACTTCTCAATGACAATTGCAAATTAGCATGTGTGATCGAATTTCATTTAACGAGGTACCCTTTGTTGTTGGCTGATGTGTTGTTGTTGTTTTGTTATAGTATTAGTAGTAGTTGTTGTTGTTTTTGTTGGATGTGTTGTTGTTGCTGTTATTGTAGTAGTAGTAGTAGTAGTAGTAGTAGTAATAGTAGTAGTAATAAATAGTAGTAGTTGATGTTGTTTTGTTGTTGTTGTAATTGTTGTTGTAGTAGTTGCTGTTACTGAGTAGTAGTTTTTGTTATTGCTGTTGTGTTGATGTTATTGCTGTTGTTGTTGTCGTTATTGTAGTAGTTGTTGTTATTGTAGTAGTAGTTGTTGTTGTTATATCAGTAGCAGTGGTGTCTTTGTAGTATTGCTAATGGTATTATCATTTGGTTTGAATTTTCTTAGGCACAATTGGTTAAGTTTCTTTTGGTCATAATAGAAATTTGTGGTAGTCGCCTTCAACCAGAATATCAACAACACCATCGTCATCATCATCAATATGTCATCATCATCACTATCATCATCATTATCATGGTCAACACCACCATCGTCATCGTCGTCGTCATCATCACTATCATTATCATCGTCATCATCATCACTATCATGATCACTATTATCAACATCATCGTCACTACCATAACCATCATCATCATCATCATCACTGCCATAACCATCATCCTCATCATCATCAGATTTAATGAATTTGTTGTAGGTAATGTAACCACCACTACCACCACCATCATTGCTCCATTGTTATTAATTCTTTAATGTTTATTTAACTTTCGATGTTGCTGTCCCAAATGAATTCAACAAATGAACCGTTACACAAACACGTGCGCACGCACACACAAACAAACAAACACACACATATACATACACAAACACCACACACACATATACATATACACATACACACACACAAACAACACACACACACTAATCAATTTATTTATTCTATACATATAATGCCTATATCATCTACATCGCTCAGACTTTATAAGTATATGCATATATGAATATGTATGTAAAATATAGATGTATTAAGTATGCACCTTGTAAGTATGTATGATAATTTGAGTATGTCTTACGAGTGTATCTATACGCTGATGTAGATGTGATTAAATGGAGAACACGCTTAATTTCAATTTTTCGCTTCGTTCGTTTTTTATCTGTTACGTTCTTTAAAAACTTTTGAAGGTATGATCAAAAAGTTCCAAAAAATCAGTTAATTTATAATAAAAATAGCGACATATTGAAGAGTTATATGTCTCTTATTTATTATTTCCATTAGTTTTTTATGTTATTTAAGTTTAGTATTTAGGCTAAAATTGATTTATTTTTTATTTCTGTTATTTAAATATATTTAGTATTTAGAATAAAATTGATTTATTTTTTATTTCTGTTATTTAAATATATTTAGTATTTAGGATAAAATTGATTTATTTTTTATTTCTGTTATTTAAATATATTTAGTATTTAGGATAAAATTAATTAATAATTTAATACTCTCGCAATTTATTCTTCCGAGCAAACGTTTGACAAATTCGCGTTTGACAAATTCGCGCATGCCGAATTCAAAATTTTTTATTTCCCTGTCTGACCACTTGTCCCACTCGAAAATGAAACAACATCATTCCTGGCGTGACGGCTGGACGTTTGCTTGCTCTACTCATGGTAAATTTCAGTTTCTCGTCTAGTATCTATTATTTAGGAGTCTATGCTCTACTCTACATCTCCATGCGTCCGAGCGTGACGTCACTGTCGGTTCCAAACTTCCGGTAGTGCTTCTTTGACGTTGTTTGCCTTCGCGTTTGTGTATCCTTATTTTTCTGAAAACAAAAAGTTTTGTCAATTTTGTTGTATGACAATCTTCAACGTAGAGTCCAAATCCTAATTGACAACCCTTTGGA